CCTAAGTGTTCCTTTAAATGATGAAAGTTTATCTTTTGGGGAGACTGCGAGTACACTGAATGAGTTGTGACAGAGGTCATATATTATTTCATGAGTAATTTGCAATTGTTCAAGATTAAGCAGAGTGGGAAAATAGTGMAAAGGATAACTCTTAGCTGATTCATATTTTTTCAGATTATTGCAATGAAAATTGCCTTGAATAGAGGAGGTGGAGCAAGGATCAGATTATTCTTCTCTGTCAGGGGAGAAAAAAATCTTCATGCTGGCTGTCAAAACAGTAGGTACTACTAGACTTCTGCTAGCTTCTTGGAAATCAGGTGGTAGCAAGAACATTTTTCTCTCAGATCATGAGGAGCACATGCCTTTCTCACATAGTTTTCGGCTGACACAGTACCCTCTTAGTTTCCTAAATTGCTGTCTGCTTTAAATAGTGCTTTTTAAATAAAAGCTAAAGTGTGCAGTAGAAGCAGAGCTAACACCGACTGTTAGAAATGYAGAGGTGGAAAAACATCTTGGTAGGATGTTTTGTTAGCACTGCTTGCCGCCTGTATTTTCACTTTTGCTTCCAAGTCCTATAAGGACTACCTAGTCCTATAAGGACTACCAAGTCACCTCCCTTCTACCCTACCAAGACAAGTGCTATTTGTCTAGAGATGGAGAGGACTCTCTAATAAAAATGTGGCTTGTTGGAGTTCTCTGGAGGCTCACAGCAAAAGGTGGCCTGGGCTCCTTGGGGGTCAAGGATGCCCATCAAGACGAGGTTCATATCTGCTCCATGGAGCACRAGTGAGTCTAGATACCGGCCTTTGTTTTTAAAGGCTTTGTAGGAACTAGCTTGAACTAATCTCAGCTCTTGAAGGATCTCAAGCAAACTATCTGACCAAGAATGATGGAGGTAATTGCTGCGGAAGACAGGTGGTAATGATCAGGAGATGCCCAAAAGGCTTCTTCAGGTGACGTGCTGGTTGAGGAAGTATTTTAGATAGACCAGATGACTKTTTTTTTTTTTTWAWTTWAWTTWWWTTTTTTTTTTTTAGCCACTRGAAATGCAATGAAATTTTACCAGCAGAAATTTCCTCTTTATTTTAGAAGCAAAAATAAGTGCTAATTATATGCTATATAATTACAATTTGCTGTATAATTACATAATACAAATTATTAGAAAAAGTTAGTACTTTTTTYTCCCCCCCCCAGCCCAATTGGATTGTTCTACAGTTAGCTCTGTATGTTGAATGAAATCCACTGTAAATAGTATTTTTAGACTGTATATTCTGAATGAATCCAAGTATATTTCTGCAATGAATGTTTTCCTTTTCCAGTCGCTGTATCACCAAAATTGCAGGGTAGTGCTTGTGGTAGTGTATGCATGTTTTGATGCATACCTTCAAATTATGGTACTCTGGAGCAAAGCTTCTTTGCCATCATATTTCATTGCTTTTATAGAAGCTGCAGGGGAGAAAGAAGGTTTAATGTCTCTTCCTGTAGCAGCAGTTTTGATTTATTTGTTTTCTTTAAATCATAACTCATTTCAAGTGAAGCYTTTTTCCAAGTTGTATATGTTATTAGGTAGTTTTTCTCATTGGCTTTGCATTTGTTTAGCAACTGAGAGTACAATAAAATCAACCCCTACCTTTTTCCATGTAGATAAACTGATAATTTCCCTTATATGAATAATCCCAATCTTTTGGATGATGCTCTGATAATTAGAGTGAATTTCCCAGGAAAGTGATATCCATCCTATAGGCCCATTGGCCTATATTGGCCAATATCTTGCCTGCAAAGTCATTGGAAGACGCCCTACCTAAAAAAGCGCAGGGATCACATAATCTGCTCTAGCAATTGCAGCAATGCCTCTATTGCCAGAATGTAAATTTAGTAATTTGATTTTATTTCCCCTCCTACCTCTAAAAATGATGATGGCTCCTTCTTATTTGAGAAGGCTATGGAAGGCTCTTGAGCATCCACCGAGTGTAGGTGGTCAGGACCTGGCCTCGAGTCTTTCTTAACTTGATGTTCTCTGTAACCTTGATCTGGAGTATTTAAGAGGCCATATGTTGGAAATAAGTGGAAAAACAACAAAAAACTTACAGAAATAATTAGTTCGCAACTATTGTTCAGCATTAATAGCTCAAAAATTGCAACTCCATCACCTAAATTTTGTTGATTGTTTTCCAACAGCCCTCTCATTTTCTAAACTGGAGGTAAAGACTTAATGGGTGTTTGGAGAACAGGAGTCCAAATTTGGTCTTATTAAGAAAAAGAAGAAAAAAAATAAGAACCCAGCTCTTCTAAGGAGGGAATATAGAGCATGTGGCCTGTCCACAACCTCACATTGCCTCTCATATAGATTTTGCCTTGCATCAGATTGGGCCAAATGCCAGTTAAGAGGACTGCAGAAGGGACTCAGCTATAAAAGTGACGCWTCCCATGCTAGCATATTCACACCTAATAATAAATGCTATTTTGTGCAGGTGGCCGGTGTGTCTGGTGGGGACCATATTGATCCCCAAAGTGTGCGAACCTAGTGCTAAGTTTGCACCATTTTGCATTGGCGCTGAGGACATAGTGTAGAGCAGCATTAAAGGACATTGCAACAGCATATTTCCAAGTAAATACATGGAAAATATGGCTATCATGGTTGTATGGAATATATGATTATTGGGATTTTGTGGAATTAAACCTTCCAAAAGGTAGTTTCTGTATATTTGAAGCATTGCATTGGTGTTAATAATACGTATGATGGGGTATGCCCTATGTGACCCAGTGGCGGAGTAAGTCTTGGCTGCTGAAYTAGGAGATATAGAATGACAGTAAAGCCAAAATAAATTAAAAAAAAATCTAGTTACATTTTTACTCTTCAGAGTAGTTGAATTGGGGACAGAAGCTAGCAAATGACCTTTTCTTTAGCCAAAGCTTCTGATATTTTACATATTCGTCTTATCAAATGCCGCTTTATGAAGACAGTACRATCAGTGAAGTTTTATCAGATGTCTTTCTTGAAAATATATATTTTTTTAACAAATYCTATTGATTTCAGCCGGTGACAGCTTATTGGGCACAAAACTGCCRAAATATAATTTGTCAGATAGTTCACCAGATATAACTGCGAAATTCTTTCTGCGTGTGTATTTCTGCTGCTGATAAATAACCTAGTTGTACTGTTATGTTGACATGCGCCATATCTTTGAACGATTTAAAAAAAAAAAATCCAAATTCTTATGGTTTTTGGAGGCTTCACGTTGTGTCGGGGCACGCGAGATGTGTCCTTCCTCCCAGCTCCCAAACYGGCTCCGCTTGCGTTTCCCGACGATGCGCAGTCGAAAGCCCTGAGCAGCTGCGACCTTTGACAAGTTTTAAGCTCGAGGGCTTGTAAAATGCCAGAGCTCGTCCCAGCGGCAAATAAAGGAGCGGACTTGGAGCAAACGGGAGCTTTCCTGGGGGGAAATGGTGCAGGCGATCGCTGTCGATGGATTATTCGGATAGGGATGGTGATTCCTCCGATGAGGAGCGCTGGTTCTCGGGAAGTGGCGATGAATACTCCGGCGACGAATACTCCGGGAAAGTATTGGAGTCAGTGCTTTGCGATAGCAGCCGATCGGGTTTGATGCTGTTTGCTGGGGTTAGGGACTGGTTTGCCAAATACTACTTTTGCCAGACAACGCTGAGATCTCCTTTTGCGTTAACTCGACTGGAGTTAATGGCTGAATCAGCGTCATACTTCCAGATATGCTTTCAAATCTGCAAGCAAATAGCAGCTAGAGACATGCTCAGCCTCTGCCTATGCTCGAGCACAGTCATGCATGTCACAGCTGTTGCACCAAAATGGGAGAAGTTTGTACTGGACTCCAAATTTTTATTATTTTTTTTTTAAATCCGTGTTGCTTTTCTGTCCTGCTTCTGGTTTGCAAAATCGATTCTCCCTGGGCAGCTGCCTCCAGCACTAGCCCTGACTTTTGGCAGCACCAACCACAGTTCTGGAGTTAGAATGTATAAGTTTAAGTTTTTAAAAGGTGTCAGTGAGATAAAAAAAAACTTGGAATTCTCACTTAACAAAATGCACTAATATATTGACAAAAGTGGAATTTTAGATATTATAATTCTGYGTTCTATCTATATTTACGCAAGTTTCTAATAATAGTAAATATACATATATTGTTACTAGGCAACTACTTTGCTTGTTTTCAAACAAGCTGTATATTTCAAATACTTTGCTGTATTTCAAGCAAAGTATGTTTTTTTTCTTCATTTTTCTTGTCTTAGATAAATTAGGGCTGGTATGTAGCAATTCTCATTCAAAATAGAATTTTACAGCATTTGGATGCAGACTTGGCCATTCACGTTTTCCATCTATTCTTTCTCTCCTTGTCCTACTTAAAAGCTAGTTTTGCCTAATAAATTGAGGTCTCTATTTTTGAACCAAGGTAAGGATAGTGTACGAGTAAGCATCAGGTTGCAACCATATTCCTCTTTTAAACCCTCCAATTTTCCAACAGTCTAACTGCATTTGCTAATAGCATTTTTCAAACTTATTTTATACCTCACTGGGAACCGCACAGTAATTTTCTCGTCCAAGTGAATTGGATGCCTCTGAAAGAGGTGGCTCTGTTTTGCCTGTAATCCATTTACTGCTCATAAATGGAAAGATTTTTTTCAGRATCTTTGAATAAAATCTCTAATTATGTTGATAACTTCATTTTGGGACATGTAGTAAGGAGCCAGGCTGCCTCAGGTAAGATATGGACTGATAGGTGGCTGAATGTCTTATTTACATGAAGGAGTCAATTTTTGAGCTTTTGGGTTTTTTGTGTGTGTTTTTTAATATTCATATGTGTTATTAACAGTCATATGCTTACAGCTCATATGGGTAAATGGGCATCTGCCAAAGTAGCTGTGAAACCCATAATCTTATTCTGGAGATGTCTTAATAATGAAGTATAGTTAAACATAAAGATAGTAACAAAAATAATATTGTTGACTTAAGAAATCTGTTTTCCTTCCAGGGAGGATGTCAGAACAGCCAACGTCATCGCGGCTGAAGCGGTAACTTGTCTCGTCATAGACAGAGAGTAAGTACATAATTGTGTCCATGTTGTTAAAGGTATGAACTGGAAACACTCAACCTCTTGTTTTTTTTCCTCTAAGCTAAAGAGACTTTGAGCATTTCTGTGGAGATGTCACTTAATTTTGAGCAATAGGTGCGCAGTAAATCGTACATATCCTTGATGAGTTGGAGAGATGGCCCCGCTAAATCAATATCATGAAGCGCAAATGCAGGAAATTAGGAAAAATGCCCCAGGGAAAAATGGAGATAAATGAGATCACATTGCCACAGAGAAGGATCCAGGTGTTGGAGTGTAATCCAGATTGAGTCCAAATCAGCACAATGTCTCAGAAGAAATAAATCTTCCCGGGATAAGTAAGAGAAGCAATGTGCTGTTTCTAGTCAATGTGGGATGGAGAACCCTCTCTTGAAGCGCTATATCTTGACAAGGTAGAAGATATTGGAATAGTACAATGATTATTTTTCCTTTCTATATAATATGGAAAGCGTGGAGGAATTGGCTGTTTCTAATCCAGAAAAGAACATCTGTGCTCTAGAAAAGTGTTGAAGTGTCAATTGTTCATGTTGCTTTGGAGATTCACCGTGACTATTGAGRTGTTTTTTGATCTGTGGATGTGGTAGAAGAGACCACCAAGAAATCTTGGATCTTCACACTGGAGAGYGTTAGCTATACACTTTATTACTGCTCAGGGAAGAGTTCCCAATATTTTTGCAGATATTTTATTTTTGACCCATGGAAATACCAGCTTAGAGTTCAGTAGTGATGAAAGAATTAAGTCCGATGGTAGAAAATACAGCACAAAATACCCATGGTTTGACAGTGTGTGGCATCCTGGAGGCTATTCTGGGTCTCTCAASACCCAAGCAATTGGGTTATACCAGAAAAAAATAAATAAATAAATAAATAAAGTGTCTTAAGAATAATGGAAAAAGGGAACAGCTTCCATTTGAAAAATGGCTGCACAGGTGAGGCATCCTTAACATGGCAAAGAGATAATAAAGGGGAGTATAATATAGACCTGGAAGTGTCCAAAAGGCGATTGGAGAAGTTAATGGAAAAGAAATCAATATCTAAGACCTAGCTGAGGCCTAGAGGAGTCTGAAAGGCCTAGAAGAGTCTGAAGGGCCTACCATAAACATTTGCTCCTTTCTTGTATTGTTCCTAACATCTTTCTACTTTCTTCCTAACATCTACTGTTAAGGAAGGATGCCATTAAAGGTAGAATAGTGGATTGACTGGAGCTTTGACCTGGCCCACAAAGCTGCTGCTTATATTCTGAGGAGATAGGAGATGCTTAGATGCCTATCCATTAGGGAAGGTCTAGGTGCAGTCAATTCTGGTTTAATACAGGAGTTCTGCATTAAASTCTCTCGAGACTTCTTCTAGTCCTTCATTTCTCCCCCCAAAAAGTATAAAATTCTGTGATAAAAWCTAAGAATAACGTTCTTCAGAAAAGCCATGAGGTGTTGATCATCTTCTGCTAAGTTGAAGGTGTTTGTAACCTATCCATTATAAGCAGATGGTGAGGATGCTTGGCTAAGTGGATTTGGGGGGACAAATGACATAATTAGATATTTTAGCAAATACTGATTCAGAGAAATATAAAGCAAGAAATATTCTTTTATTATATGTGTGTATATATAGGTATTTTATAATATAGACTTTTYTTCTCTTTTATAAAAGAGAAAAACTCTCTTTTCTTGTCATTTCTGTGAGGAGTTTTTTCTTGCTATCCAAATAAGAATATCCAAATACTCGGAGTTAGTCATTGCTGAGCATTTTACCACTGTTTTCTTTGCTTGTTTAAGGTGCCTTTTCCTCCATAATGCCCTTGAGATGGTAAGGAAGCTCAAGTTAAATTTAGACGCGTGACGCGATAGTTAATCCACCATGTATACCAGAGATTCTGGTAACAAATGCTATTTACATTGCAAGACAAGAAATGCTATTTATAGTAGTACTTATAGTTCAAGGGAGCCATGTCCAGTGTCCTGACCCACTCCAGCTTTCATATCGGAGCTTTTATCTTCTCAGTTTATTATTTTACAGGTGGAAATGGAAAAGTGTAGAAGCTCATTTTAATATAGTGAAAACCTATTAGGATTTCTCTAAATTTGAGGGATAAGTGAAAAATGAAGTTCTGCTAATGAGTGGGGAAAAAAAAGAGCTTTTACATCTAGATAGACTGATTGTTAAAATGTAAGGTTTGTTATGTTGCACTTACCTTCAGCAGCCCTCTAAATAGCTACAAAATACCTTTGAGCCTATAGCAAGCATTTTAAAGCTTTTACGCCTTTATATATTCCTTAGAAATGGAAGTCTAATCTCTGGATTTATGGCCAAAAATGGGGCTCGTCCAGATGCTGGAGAATTTTGAGAGTAATAATGTGGGAAACTTTCTGTACAAGGATGAGTACTAAAGCCAGGCCAACAAGGAGCAAGCTCTCACTTTGAGATTAGAGGTTGCTTAAGCTTAGGAAAAATTATGAGGTTGGCATGAAATCCCGAATGTGACCCTGTGCCACATGCTCGAGCAGGTCTCCTTGCTTGAGCAGAAGGCTTGGACTAGATGATCTCTAGAGGTCCCTTCCAACCTCAACTTTTCTATGATCCTGTGAACTTACTGCTGGGGACAGGGCCCATCATTTCCCTAATCACGTCTTTACCACATACTAGGAGTACAGCTCAGCAATGTCTGCTAATTTCTCCCAGCTTTGTAGTACCACGTATAGGTGAAGCCAAGCCCATAACCTAGTCCTATCCTAGCTATATTAGAAATTTCAAACAACTTTACTATGGCTTTATGTCAAACTGCATTGCATTTCACTCCGATGAAATCTTGTTCATGATTTATTTYCACTCTTATCAACAAGGAAATTGCTGGTCTCAAAAGCTCTTGAGAAGCGGCTAAATTAAACAGTTATAAGTTGGCCCAGTAATGATGAAGGTACAGGATCAATGCTGAACTTCTAATTCAGTTGCTATTTTAAACTAGATGCCTATCAGCTATTTCATATCATCCTCACAACTTATTTTCTAAGAATAGTGTCTTTGGAATTATATAACTGGTGATGGTCAGTACATGGACAATAAGTCACCTGATAGAATTCACAGAGGAATTAGGGACTGAGTTGCAACTGGTAATGGTTCTGGTCTGCAGATTACTCATTTATTTAGGAAGATGTGATAAAGAAAAAGAAGCGGCTGTGCATGCTTTGCAGATTCCACCAGAGAGAGAGAATATGGAAGGGAGATACTTCCATAGGGACCAAGAATCTTGGAAGATAGTGGTCATAAGGAGGGGGAAGATGTGAGCTAGCAGAGGGACAAGTTTTACATGGAAGTGTAGATGCTGGAAAATGAATAAAAGTGATAGGCATTTACAGAAGATGAGAAAATAAGGAGAAATAGCTACCTTCTGGAGAAGAAGAGAAAGCAATAAGGTCAAATTGGTCAAGAATTGCAATCGAGGAAGCAACCCAGGCTATGACTGAATAAAGAAGAGAGATTTTGCAGCCATTATGACAAATCCCACAAGGAATCTATCACTGGGCTTGGGGTTCTGCAAGGAGATGGAAGGTGGCCATGCACGGGGAATCTGAAGTTTGCCCAGCAAATGCAAGGTCATTTTGTTTATCAAGAGTAAAGATGCAGTATTTGGGTAAAGGCAATGTAACAGAAGAGTGATTCTACCTGAAAGGCAGCTATTGAACACAGCTGGGGACAAAAATGAGATTAAAAAGGTAACTGAGTAATGTTCACTAGGGATTTAATAGACTGTTACCTAATACAGAGGAGGCAACTAGCGTGGATGTTTGTCTTGAATCAAAAYCACTTTGAAGAACATAGTGAAAGAGTATTATAGTAGTGAGAACGAGTATATAGTGTAATGTGTAATAGTAAATGTGTAAATGACTAAATTTCTGTGTATAGAGAGGATTCATAGCATTCATAGCAGATATCCCTGAGACTGGTTGCATACACAGAGCCATTGAAACAGTAGAGTTGGTCAGAGTAGTCTTGGTTGGCTTTGGTAGGCGGTCATGAGCTGGCCATGGAAAATAACCTTGGATCAAGTGATATAGCGTTTGATTTAGCCTACATTTTGAAGATAGGTCTGTAATTGTTAATCTTGATACTGAAAATAGAACAGTGAGAAATTAAACAATGTCTTTGGGGAAATGGACTGGATGAGGGTCCCAAGGATTCCTCCTCTCTAATGGGCTAAAATCTGGACCGCAAGGAACGGAGACATATTTAGGAAATTATTTACCAGGAGGTTATTTATAATCTTGCAGTTGGCTTCTGGGAATATCTGAGGTGGATGCTCTAGTTGGCTTCAAAATGATGTCCCATCAAACCCGGGTATAGGAAAGGCAACAAGTTCTCCAAGTACAGATATACATATACAAAAATATATATGCATACATATATTTGCATATATATATATATCATATATCATTTGCATATATATGCATATTATATATATATAWAAATATAATAGGTGAGAGAGCTGCATTAGTGCAGTGCCCAAGCTCTTGCAGTGACTGTGTTGCAGTGCTCCCAGAAAAAGGACTGTGACCATTCAAAGCCTGAATATGTCCATGCACCCCTTCTGAGGTTCCCTTAATCTCATAGGGGAGTTAAAATAAGACCTATAAAATTAGCTTCAAAAGTTCATCAAACASATTGGCCATTTGAATGTGCTGTTCTGTTTGAAGAGTGGAACCTGTAAAATACTTTGGCCATCTCTCCTGGCATCCAGCAGAGAAATCTATCCAAATAAATGAAAGGCCCTGTGCATGAGTAAATAAAATCTATCTGTTGTTCTTGGGAGTGGTAAAACTTAGGCAATAATGTTTTCTGGACATTTCAATTAAGTTGTACAACCCTTTAGATAGTTGGGAAACCAGAAAGCTTGCTGCAGGAATATAGGTTTTTTTCCTGACCAAAGATAGAGTCTAGGTAGACCCACAAATATTTTGTAGTTTTTCTTAGTTTTCAGATGTCCTTTGTTCTTTTCTTATYCTATCCTAATTGTAGGAAACATATAAAGTTGTTGACTTGGGTGTGCTTCAAGCATTGGCCATGTCCTGGCTCACTTTAGTGAATCTTCAGGCTCCCTTTACTTGGTGCTTGGGGAAAACCTGCTATGGCAATACACTGAAATGTATGGCAAGAAGATGTGTCTATATTGGAAATCTTCTTATAAAATATTTTTGTGTTTTAAAAACAAAGTTGTAGATCCTACCAGGAGAACCTGAAGCATTTGTTTCATAATTGAGGTTGAATAAACATATGCATGTGCTACTTGCAGCTACTTTGTAAGTAAAAAATATGGAGGAAAAAATCAAAACTCTTTCTTCCAATTTTGTTCATTACTAGTGCCCTGAAAAAACTGTGCAACTTATTGTTTTTTTTTTAAGGTGCACCCATGGGGCCTGAAAAAAGGAATTATGAAGAGTTTGTTCATAGTGTTTTGAACTCCAAGGCTGTTTGTATTGAAATCAATGCTTCAGATTCATCTTTTATTTATACTTGATTTTCTTTATTTATGTATTTCATTTGTGTTTATAACAACATTGCACCAGAGTGCTGAGAGCTGCTAGGTTTAAACACCAAACCTAACTGGGTGCTGGTAGGACCAAATGGCCTGGTGTAAATGGAAGAGTAAGAGGCTAAGAGCCCATAAACCTGAGGCGCAGCTGCTCCTAAATTGCTTGAATAAGGGCCAGCTTTTGAATATTTTAAATATTTTTGGTTTTCCTAGTAGATTCCAGCAGAAGTCTTGCAAGGATATGCCAATTGCTGCACAGATTTTAAAGTGATTTTAAACTTTCTGGATATTTTCAGATCGTTTTGATTTGCTTGTGGGTCCCCCTTAGCAGAGGAGAGTGTGCATGTGGYTTTCTTTCTAAAAAGCTAGAGGGAGAGATGATACTTAGACTTYATATTTTTTTCCTCCTCATCTGGAAGCCTTATTTTAGCTTGCAAGGCAGGAGAGGTTGCTATATCGACCCTTTTGGCAGCAGAAAGCAAGGCAAAATAAAATAAAGACGACATTATCCTAGCATGACTGAGCCTATACAAGCCGAATGCTTTCTTGGGAGCTTTTCATTTTTGCTGTTTTAGTGTGGTTTTATTTATTTTTTCTCCCCATTTGGGGTGAAGTTTATCCATGGAGAAAATTGGTTATGAGGAGCAAATAGAAACAATGAAGAGGGAGAGCGGTGAGGGGGAAAAACTGAGCAGTTGTCTGCTGAGATTCTTACGGGAAGTTGGGACCAAAATGATACATCGTCAGCAAGCTGGGAAGAGATGAGGGGAAAAAAGCTACTCCTGGCAGTCTTGAGCCTTGCTTAAGATAGATTTAAATATAAATCTAAGTATATTGGTCTCTTCTATTTTTTTCTTTATTTTGCTGTACAATGGTTAATTATACAAAGATTCACCTTGCCAAAAATTGGAGTATTGCTCTTTTCTACCGTATTTTTCTACCCACATTAAATCCAGTCAAGACCTGCTGTTTTAGAAGGATATTTCAAACCTCTAGGTTGTGTTTCAGAGCACATCGGGATGCTGGCAGCACTACACTGTCTTGCTTGCTTAAAAAAAGCTAGCAGTGCAAGTTAATATTGGTCGCTTCATCCATGACTGTTGTAGCTTCATCCATAAACAAATGGCATATATTTGGCCCCCAAAATACCTCCCACAGCACAAAATGTGCCATATTTCTTCAGCCAAATCTGGATGACTTGGTATACCGCATCCTGGCGATGCTGATGGTCATGGTGGTAACGTGACACTGGACTCTGGAGGGATCTTGGTGGTCTCCCACTCCTGATCCGTTGAATCTTCAACCTAGAGCCCCATAGAAATAAGAGTTCTGCCAATCACCACCAAGAACACTAAGGATCAATGAAGTCAAAGTCAACCAGGAGATCTGGCTGTTGGATTTGGCCTAGATTCATACTTACCCCCTCCCTTTTTTTTCCTTTTTGTCACTGTTTTTTGGGTAGAGGAGGGAAGAAAAGGCAACATCCTCAATGTTTGAAACAGTGGTGCGGAAATTTTTTTGTTTCAAGCATACTGAATAAGAAATTCTGCATCAAAAAAAAATCCTGTAGTTAGTAGCACATCTTGAGATTGAAAATTATAGCCTGCTGAACCCCTACCGTGTTAAAGTATATATAACATATATGTCCTTCTTAGCCAAGAGGTGCTAGTTTATAATGGATTTTCCTTTCAAGTTAGTCTAACTCTTTTCTCTTTTTCTTTTTTTTTATTGATTCTACTTGTTTGAGTCTCTCATGATATAAAAACATATTCCAACCCCTTTTTCTTTTGCAGTTTGACTGAATCTTTTGAATCTCCTGCGACAGAGGATGGTGATAGGGGACTGCTGGAGATGCTCTAAGCATTCGGTGCATCGGCCTTTGCTAATGTTTGAGCCTGGCCTACACCCTATTACAACGAATTAAATCCAAATTCCCTTATATAAGGTCATCAAGCAACTGGGCTTATGACAAAACAACTGCATTTCTATATTATTTAAAAGATAAAAACAAATCCTCTCCCTTTACTTTCACAGCTCCTTCAAACATCTGATTGGTGGTCTAGATGATGTTTCCAATAAAGCCTATGAAGATGCTGAAGCGAAAGCGAAGTAAGTGTCATCTTGTTCCTTTTAGTGTAAAACCTTTTTCTTGTTGTTGCCTGTATTTGTTGACAGCAAATCACAATGCCTTGAGGGGGAAAAACTTTTTTTCCCAACATAATGGCAATAGTAGTAGTGAATTAGGCCTTTGTTGTGATTTTTCTCACCTTGGAAGAACCTCTTTTTACCAGTCTTATGTACTGTATGTTTGTAGAAGGGACAGAGAGAGCCTGGTGTGGTTTTGACAGCTGATGCTTCCAAAATCTCTCTTAAACATGTTACTGGAGTCCAGAAAGATGTTGGATTTCAAAAAAGTGTCACAAAATAGTTATCTTTAAACAGCGCAAGGTGAGAAATTGGAGGATTTTAAAAGCTCAACTAATGAAACTATGAATACACATTGCTTTGAGAAGTGAGTGATAGTGTATTGTAATTTTAGAGTATATCCAAAAAATCTACAAAATCTACTCGTAATTCATTCTTGATCTACTTTTTTTCTTTCTTTTTTTTTTTAAAATTAAAGGGAGAGGGTTAAATGCTTTCCCAGGAAATGTGACAGTATTTTTCAGTGGTCCTCTGTGGTCTAAATTTAAGTGTGCTCTAAAGTTATACATAGTAACCTCTCATTAAACTAGAGAGGTTTGAAATAGCATATAAGGAAGATATTTGGAATGAGAAGGACCTTAAATGGTTATTTAATTAAAATCGGTTTTAATTRCTTGTTTTCAGAAGTAAATTTGCATCCTGAGAACCTTTTTCTTGTACAAGACTTGATAATATCTCAAGTCAGGATATTGARAGAGTATTTTCATCTCTGAAAATTTAAAATGACTTTTTAATCATGTTTTAATTTAGGATACTGTATGTCACCCTGGGTTGCATTTTTATTCTGGATAATATTTCCYCACCTTTAGTAAAAAGAGACAAGATTTCTTTTCTAGTGTTGAAGTTCCTTAAAACACCCGTTGACTCGCTTAAAAAGGCAAGAGGCTTTCCATCCTGGAAAGCATCCTGAAAGGAAATGCTCTTTCAAAAGCTGTGACATTTATTAGTCAAATACTGTATTCACATTTGTTCAACTTCTTGAAAGCAGGCGCATGCCTGGAACAAGAAAGGTGAATAGAATAATAAAAATCATAAAGTTACTTTGGCAATGAAGTGGGGGGTGTATTATAAACTGCTCTGTAATCTCTTATCGCTGAATAGTTGTTGTTCTGGTATCTGATGAGATAAAACACCCCTGGGAGGAAAATAGATGTTGGAGGAAGTCTAACCTGGATTCATTTTCATGCCGACGTTAATTAGCTTTGGCTAATTGTCCTCCATGAGCTTATCTTTTCCAAGGAGAAGCTTGTGAAATACAAGAACTTGGTGTACAGAGACTCAGTAAAGTGCTCTGCTTGACAAAACCGAAATCACATAATGCTGGGAGGATGGGGGGGAAATGGGAAAGAAATTTTTTGCTACTTTGCAATTAGCATCTCCGTTTGTGGACTTGGGTGACAGATGGCCAGAAACAACCTTTGAACAGAGAGAAATTGTCTATATAAAATTATCTCATCATGTATCATGTGGATCAAGAGGATCCCTCGAAAGGTCAGAAATTCAGCAAGTGTAATCATGCATAATAAATGCAAACGATGTCCTTCGAAGACCTTATTAGAGTGTCAAAGCCTGCACTTGGTCGATAGAGCAGTCAAATTCAAGGCCAAAATGTGAAGAGTCCAGTTCTTTCATATCTACTGCTTTCTCATAAGAAAGAATAAGCTGAAATAGCAAGTGCAAAAATATCTATAAAAAGTCAGCAAATACATTTTTGTATGAAACTGTCTATATCAAGTTTATCTGAATAGTTTGATTCCTAGTAATTTGCAGGCTACTTACCAACTAGACTATGTTTATTTTAAGGGTTTTTGGTGGTTTTTGTACTATCTTTCTACTAGAGCAGCACTGCACCCTTCGAGGTTGCTTATGTGCTCAAGCTGAATTACCTTTGATATTATTTGGGGAGTTTTTTTTAAATTCACACAGCCATAAAATTTTTCACTTTCAAAGGGAAGAATTGGTTAACCTCGTTGCTCCTCGTGGAAGGACTGTGTTTTGTTTTAATCCTCATAATAACAGAGAACATCTTTAWGGTGTGAGCTTTAAATGCCTTAGCACTAGAGCCTATTTGCTTGTTTGCCTCTAACGTATTATTAGTATCATATTTTGGAGATAATTTTTTGSTTTATTTTGTTTTGTTTGGTTTTGAAACATGGGGTTGGCGGATAGTTCTCCTATCTGCTACCAAAACCATCAGATATCCAAGAGGAAACCAGTTGTTTCTAATGCCACTACTGATGTTAAATTGAGAATGTTTTGGAGTATWCCATTAACTTGACACTTGCTAATCGCCTCTGCTTGGGTCTTCCCTGTTTGGAGGACAGTGGTCACTGGAGGAGGTCTGGTCCAACTTGGTGCAACCTTTAACCACTGCAGAGAGAACAAGTATGGCAAAAAGGTGTCACGCTAGGAGAATTGGCAGCTGCCAGGATTTTACCCAGCAGGGATCCATGCACTCAAATGGATGACCAAGGCTCCCCTCACTCCTTTTCTCTTGTCGCATCCAGAATTATCTGCTGAGGTTCGTTTCCTATGGTGGTGGACCTTGAATTTAATATCCTACTGAAGTGTAGGCACCGATGTCTTAAAGCCATTGCTTGAAGCTCTCTGCATAGCGTAGGCTATTTTGGTTCTTTTTTCTCCCACTTTTTCTCATTCTAGTTGTTTTGTGGCCCTGGAGACCTACAGTGTTATACTTGAAACTGAAATTCTGCTTCTTGTATGGTTTGAGGAGACAGGGACCTTGGTATAGCCATCCAGTGCTTCTTCCTTGGAACAACCTCATCCAAATGTTTTATTTTGTTGTCCAGAGGAGTCACTTTTGTCATAAACTGAACATTTCACAGGTTAGGAAAACTTTGGAACTCATGGTGATAAGCTTGTTTGTGCCTAACTGAGTTGAAACTTGCTCCTTGTGCCTTGTATTAACTGGTAGCTGGTATTGAGATGCCATCTACTGTTTAAGATGCTCCTTGTACTGCATCTGAAGTCTTAGCTTTGTGAGATGGTGTCTCTTTATCCCTAAATCCATCTCATTTCTTCAACTACCAGCATGTTAAAAAGAGCAAGTGGTTTCAAGTGTTCTCTGTTGCTCCTCGGGGATCTTCTTTCTTGGAAGGCTGCTACTAGATCTCTATGTATTTCCTTCTCTACGGCTTTTTCTTCATGAGGTTTCCCTTGAGGCATTGCTTTTTGAGGTGGAAATTGCCTATAACAGATGAATGTTTGAGAAGTGGAGAAGTCCATATTAGCATAGATCATAGGGAATGCATTAGTAGAGCAAAAATGCATGACATGGACCTGACACATGTTGGACATGACAAAGTGCATACACCTCAGTGAGTTTTCTTCTGGGTTGCTTCAAGTTCAATTGCAGGGACTGAAAATGAGATGGAGCATGTTGGAGCACACTTGATCTGCTCTTGAAGCACAACTTTTGGCTTAGGAACCACCAGAAAGACATCTGGTGTTGGCTGGTCCATGAGTGGCTCAAGTTCTGCTCAGCTTTCTGCTAAAGGCTGAATTTGACCCTGGTGGTCTCCAATTAAAAAAAAAAAAAAAAAGTGCCAKGGATGGTGGCTTATCTTCATGTCAACACCTGGTTTTGCTGAGGTGGAAGAGTATCATGTGCCAATACTGTATCCTCTTGACTTGATGCACATCGTGATACATAGGTTTGAGCTGAATGTCGGCCAGTTCATTTTATTTATTAGAACCCCCCCCCGTTGTGTATTAGAAGGCGATGGTTTGGTCTTTGTTTCAGCTTTATCAGCTGTGTAGGTTGTGAGGCATGCTAAAAGAGAGAGGGGCAAAAATTGCTAGTGCAATGAAAAAGCAGAAGTTGCAGCCCTCTTTTTTAATTTAATTTTAATTTTCCACCTTGGTAGTGCATATAATGTGCATTTCATACTTTTTTTTCTAAGTTGTGTGAGTTTAAATATCTTTCTATTTTTGGGAAAAAAAACACTAATAAAATAGCTTTGACTTTAGATAATGTCATTTGACCACTGTACTTTCAGGCTGCAGCCAGCTGTAGCTTGCATCCCACGTCTTCCCAGTTGCTGGAATACTTCCTTAGAAAATAAGTTATTGAGAACTATTTGAAAAGSTGAGAGCAGATCAAGATGACCAGGACGGTATCCCTGAACAACTTGTGGAAATTGCTAAATTGTCATTATTTTACTTTTTGTTTTTTTGAAGGTGAAGTGATGTTTACTGTGAGTGCTGTTTACTCTGCATTATTCCTGCAGATTGCTGCTCTGGGTACAGTGGAGAAAATGCAGTGTATAATGCACTATGTATTTTGCAAAGRATCCATTAAATTAGCTTTTAAAAGCAGGACATTTATGTTTAGGTAATAATCTATATACTTTTCCCTTTTTCAAACCTGTTGCTTTTTTCATGCTAGACTTACCTCCTAGATGATCTATCCCCAGTTGTTCCTAATCGGCTTCCTAAAATGTCGTCAGCAGTTTGGGAAAAGAGCTAAGTGGCAGATCCTGTGTTTCAAAGATGAGTGAAAATTAATAAATATATAAAAATGTAATATTTTTCTTTTCCCCTGGGAAAATCAGCAAGTGTGGTGCCCAAAAAGCACATAGCAAATTTGATTGACCCCTGCACTGTAACTGCATCAACCTCAGAGATGAAATTCAGTCACTGAACTGTGAAATGGAAGAAACTTTAATCCTGCTATAAGGGTAAGCCTCAATACGGCCTTAGCTTCAAATTCTGGCACGCTTGTAGCTGAGACCCCAAAGCTAAGTGTTGTTTTCTACTCCTTTGCTGTAAAAGAATGTATRTTTTTTTTCCTTTAAAATCTCAAACCACTTTCCAGCCTTTTTCCAATACTTTGCTGCTAATTGCAGTCCACATAAAACTTAACATTTCTGCTTGCAGCTTAT